GCGTTGTAATGCAAGCTGAGACATCTGCAACCCACAACTGCTGACAAGAGATTTCCCCCCAAATACACAAGGGAAGGACCCCGCTTCCTCACGGGCATCCTTGGTGCCAGTCACCTGCCCATAGTTTCTGATCAGGTGCCCTTTGGCAACTTCCTAAGTTGAGTTGGAGGTTCCAAAGGGTGCAAGGAGTTGGGACTCCCATTTTTCCTGGAGGGAGAGGGTCAGAGCTCCCCCAGGTTCTGCTGCCGCCCCGGGCAGATGGTGGGGGCAGGCAAGGCAGGCTGTTGAGGGAGCTGCTGGGAGACCCCCCAGAACCCTCTGCATGAGGACCGGGGGCACCATGCCTGCCCTGAGCCCGGGTGCCATGGTGTGGAGTGCGTCTCACTTGAATGACAGATGTCCCCGCTCACATGGGAGCACCCCCACGAGGTAGTTGCCCTTCAGCTAGGAAGATGGCGCTGCCCGGCAGCTGGCTGTGACACTGGAGGGAAAGACTGAGCCAGGCCCTGGCCCAAAGCGCTGAGAACAGCCACACCACAGGGTAAAGGAAACCTTAATTCATGGTGGTATTTCTAAGTCGTGTGTCGTTACTTATATAAGAACATCCAACTAAAACATCAGCCAGGAAGTCATTCGAATGACAAAAGCTTTCTGAGTATCTCCCGTGTTGGGTGTTGGGACAAGGGTGGCAGAGACACAAAGATGAGGTGACTCAGGTGCTGCCTGGAGGCCAATCACAAGGTCATTGACATTATTCCACACTCCACGTGGGAATACTTGTTGAAAGACACGCATGGCCCCAGCCTGCAAGGAGCTTAGTGTCCATTCCAGGCAGTAGGACACAGACCCTCTCCCACACTGTTGATTCAAGTGTAGATTGGTAGGATCTTTTTGGAGGGCGATTTGGAAATAACCATAAAATTTTAAAATATGCATATGCTTCGACCCATAATTCTACTTTTGTGTATACCTATGCTGGAGAAATACTCTCACCAATATTTTTGTCTAAAACATGCATTTTCAAGGATGTTTATTGCCATGTGTATAACAGTAAAAAAACAAGGGGGAAATGCTAATCAATGGCAGAAAGCCCACATAAATCACGATGGAGCCACAGTGTGAACTGCCATGCAGCTCCTGTGTTAGCCTTTATGAGGCTGTCATTCTGGCTATTTTTGACCTAAAAAAATGACAGTTTCATATATTGAACAGAAGTTTCTCTGCCTCTGTTTCTTTGTCTTTAAAACGGGGATAATAATAGTGCCTCCCAGTCTCAGAGAGTTAATATGAGCATTTCACACAATACCTCATGCAAAGCCCTTGGAGCAGTCCCCAGCACATGGCCGGAGCCCAAGCAATATTTGCTCATATCACTATGAACATGTGTCAACATGGAAAGATCCAGAATATACCATTTGGAGAAAAATCACTATATGTATATTTCTACAAAGGTCGATAAAGTGTGAACCCATTTGTGGGTGGGAAACACATGAGTGTGTGTGTATGTCTTTGTGTAAATGCCTAGGAACAGGACTAGATGCCTTCCTTCCAAACTCTTCCTAATGGTTAACCCTGGACAAGGGAGTGGGTTGGGGGCAGGGAGGAGGATGTGCCTCATCAGGGTTCCATTGGGCCGCTGGGGGGGCGGGGGGAGCAGAGCTGCTGGGAGCTCTGCACTCCCCAGTGCAGAGAAGGGTCGCAGGGACTGGTCCTTATTCAACCACGGGGCTGGCCAGGCTATCTCTGCAGCCGGGGGTGTGGTCTCGGCAGCTCCCTTCGGACCTTGAAGCCTCAGGGAAGGCAGTCAGAAAGGCGTGATGGGTGTAAGATGAGGAGATCAAGAGGTTGGAACCCCCAAGCACGCTCTGAATCTCATGTCAGTTCTCATTGCGTCTGGTGTTGATGGCGTGGGGGCCCTGCATCAGCCAGCAGACACACAGCCCTGGCCCAGGAGTCAGAGAAGCTGAAGGAGGAGGATGTGAAGGAGGGGGAGCAGTTGCAGGCCCCCTCTGCTGCCGCTGCCGCTTTGTGCTGAGGAGGTGAATCAGCAGATCAGCGGCAACGTGCATGAGTTACGCTTTCCTTTCTCCTGCCAAACCGCCCAGGATTGTCCCTTGTGGCCCTCCATAACTGGAAACAAACACACAAACCAGAAAGGAGTCTGGGAAATGTAGTCCGGCCGAGCCTAACTGACACATCACAAAGCCATCAAGGGGAGTTTCACCTTTTCCTCTATATACTTCTGGATTTCTAAATTCTTTTACAATGTGGCTCTATAAATGTATGTATTGTGAATAAAAAAGAAATTGAAAGCCTTTGGTAAAAAAAAAGGAAAGAAAACTCTTGTTCCCAGTGAGATTTAGTGTTTAGTTATATGGCTAATAGTGTCCTGAGAACCTAATTCTCCGCTGTTAGCTGCCCGGCCTCAGCACCATCACCTCCTCCCTGGGCTACGGCACCCACCCCCTAACTGCTTCTGCCCGGCTCCTGGGTCTGTTCCCACTTCAGCCAGAGTGAGCTTTTCAAGATGCTAATCAGATGCTGCTGTGTGCCTATTTAAAAACGCTCCCGGGGCTTCTCATTGCCTTCATTATGAAGCCATAAATCATCGCTCCCCACTCTAGTCCAGAAGTCGCTGTAACACTATCCCTCTCGGTCTGGCTCCATCTGGCTCTCTCCCTCCCCCGACTCCGTCCCTCTTGCCTTTAGTGGTTGCAGAGCCTAAAATCATCGTGCGTATCACAGTAATAAAAGGCTGGCCACTTACCGATTCCCTACTATGTGCAACATTATGCTACCTGCCTTGACGCCGTAATCTGATTTAACACCCTCAGTCTCGGGTGAAGTCGAAATGCTTTTCCTATCCCTATTTTGCAGACAAGGACAGGGAGACTTAGGGGACATTGAGAAATGAGCGAGTGGTGAGTGGCACCCCCAGGATTGGAGCCTGGAGTGTCTGACCCCCATAGGCATGAGCACGATATGCAGCAACCATCCATCCTATGAACAAGTCTTTCCTTCCCTGTCACACCACCTTGTGAGTGGAAAACTGTCTTCCCCCTGGGCAGTCGGCTCCAGGAGGGTAGGCATCGAGCCACGCCTCCAGTACCTCGCGTGGGTAGTGCTTGCACACAGTAGGTCACTGGTGTTTGTTGAAAGCATCAATGTGCCGGCGCTGTGCTGGGTTCTGGACTAAGGCCAGCGTTAGAAGAACCAGACAATGCAGCTTTGCGCCCAGGGCTTGCGCTCTGTCATCGGGGAGCTGATCTCACGCTGGATCACAAGCCGCTCTAAGTCCCGGGGAGGGTGCTGGGGAAAGTGTGCATCGGCCCCGCCTGACCGCTGCTGGGGAGGAGGGGGGCCCGGAGAGGCATTCAGCGGGTATCTGCAGAATGACGGTGGGATGTGAGTCACAGGAATGGCCAGCCTTATCTGGTGGACTCCCGTGTAGTTCTGCTTTTGGGGTTTATCTGTGCTCTGTGGCTTGTAATGGAGGAGATTGGTCCTGCCCATCCTGTCTCTTAGAAGAAATCAGTGCAGCAATATAAGCATCCTTCTACCCAGTGGTGACAAACTGTCCCTTTGTCCCGGCCGGCGGTGCTGCCTGCCCCTCCCGCCCTCCCTACACACTTACCTTCTCCTTCCCTGACTTGCCACGTGAGGTCCCACTGATGTCACCGTCTGTGGGACAACTGACTGGGGACTTGGCGCTTTCTCCGAGGAATAGGTAGACACTTTTCCTTGTCAAGTAAGGGGAGGGTGTTGGTTTGTTTTTAATGATAATGCTGGATCCTGAGTGGCTGATTTGCTGGGACCTTCCCGTGTGCTCTGTGTGGAGTGCCCTGCAGTGCGTCCTGTACTTGAATCCTCACAGAACCTGTGAAGCGACCCATTCTAAAGATTAGGACACCGAGGCGCCAAGAGGTTCACTTGTCCAAAGTCCCACAGTGCTCACTGCTTAGAAACTAGCAATGCCTTCTAGAGAGTTCTAGTGCACCAGTTAGAATGCATCAGTCTCCAACTTCAGGAGAAAGGTTTTAAAACATAGGTTTGCCTGGAGTCAAGATTGCACCTGCTCGTCTGCGTGTGCGTGTGTGTGCGTGTGCGTGTGTGCGTGTGTGTGTAGGGGGTGGGTGGCGAGTGAGTCCTCTGCTAAATGCAAATGCGTACCCCACTAATCGGCAATAAACAGGGCTACGACCTTGGCAGAGGCCTCACGCACCCACCCATCCACCTGCCGAACACCTTCAGCTTTCCAAATTCTCTTTAAAACTGGTACGTAGATACAGTTTTTACACCAACATGCAACTCTTTTTCTGGACAATTTCTACCATATAGATAGGCGTTTCCTGAAGCAACCAGGTTGGGAATGGGACGCCAGGATTAAAGCCATCACTGAAGAATAAAGTGAAGTTGGACTTCTTTTTTCACAAGCTCCTACAGAGTATTTTAAGTTTCACTTAGGCCCACAGTATAATGGCTCTCATGTAACCTCGCTTCCTCACACCCTGGGTCTTCATTATTTTGGGTGCATACAACCATCATGAATGGGAGAGAGAAATGAGGTATTTAGTGTTCTCTGATGGAGTTTATAAGTATCCTGATTAGTCACTTCCCAGGATCTTCAGAATTCTGGGCATGGTCTCATGCCGCCTCTCAGAGCGCTGTAAACACGAGGGCAGGAGTTCTTGATGGATTCAGGCTTTCTGATTGACTTCTCCCCAAGGCAATTAATCAAGGAATGCAAGTCATTTGCCTTCTCAAAGCTTCCTCTCCTTCCCTGGACACTGTGGTGGAGTCTTTCTCGTTTTCCTTCCGCTTCTAAATCATGTCAGGGATGGGGGCCGGGGCAGAAATGATCCAGAACTTGACCCCTAGAAGTTGCTTTCTGCCCCAGCCGGGAGGGGAGAGCCTTGCTCCAGCTTGGCCCAGCAGAACCGCGCCTTGGTCACCACGGATGCGTGAAATAAACGTCTGTCTGTTGTTATGGTTTGTTCCAGAGCTGGTGATGTTGCTGGAGTGGTGGTCGGGCACGGAGTGCGTCATCCACACAGACCCCCAGGCCTACCCCAAGTATGGAAAGGAAAATGCCATCGTGGTTCTGAACCACAAGTTTGAGATTGACTTTCTCTGTGGTTGGAGCCTGGCCGAACGCTTTGGGGTGTTAGGGGTAAGTCGGATTCATATTCCCCCCCTCACACATTTCCCCGGTTCACCACTATGACTTGCCTTTTTGCTCTCAATCATGCAGGATAACAGAGGCATTCACGGTTTCTACCTGATGAAATGTTCTTCACAATTGCTTTTCATTCCTGCTTGGAATCAAGATGCACGTCTTCTAATGAGCAATAATGATACTGATTCAGCGATTATTATGTGCTAGATACGTTACACACAATTCGTTTACTGACTCCTTACAGAGACATTTACGAATCGATGATATATATCTTCCCTTTTTAAAAAAACTGAGTTATAGAGGGTTTAAATAATGTGCTCAAGGTCCCACAGCTAGGAAGTAGATTTGGATTTGGACTCGTGGTGTGAGGCGACTTCACGTCCTTCATCTCTATGCTCTCCTGCTCTCCTGGCTCACGGACAGTGCTCACCCCTGCCTTTTCATCTTTGTGGGCTTAAGAATGTGGAATCCCCAAGCTAGAGAGTTTCAGTGGCAGAATTCAGAATGCCCATGAACTTCTGTATCCTCCAACTAGTTTGACTCCTCGCATGCCTTTGGGGCTGGGCTTTCTTAGCTGACTTTTGTCACCTTGAAAATGTCGAGGTGTGTCTTGGTCACGCCTGCATCACATAATCGAATTGAAGTTGTCTCGTGCTGAGCTGTCGCAACAGGGGTTACAACATGTCCTGGCCCGGGGGCGGGGAAGGGCTGGGACAGCTTGCACCAGAACTTAGGGATCGTGGTTTGCACCTGGGAGTCACCCCTGCAGACAGCCGGGGTGTCTGCCCACGTCACGTTGTCTTTGGTGGACCAGGTGGACCAAATCAGTGTTCAGAGTGGAGGAGATGGAAGACCAGGAGAGGAGCTGGGATGACGGAGTCCTCCGTGGGCCCAGTCCCTGATGTGCCTGTGGGCCAGCAGCACTTGGGGGCCCCTTTGACTCGGCCTTTTTGGGAAGACCTTGGGTGAAGGAAGACTATATAGTGTAGGACATATTTGGATCTGCTTTTAAACATTTATGCACCTTTAAATTGGGGGCAAAAGGAGAGAGAAGGAAATGTGCTTAGAACCACGTCCCGTTCACATCTTTGGGACAAAGGATGCTCATTATGATGCAGTTAAACTATCAAAAGGCAAGTAAGGTCGTTAGCCGTTTTTCAAGAGATAGACACAGTGAACTCCATCACTGTTGCTGCCTCGAGACTTCTAGAAAGCTGCATTGCCTGTGGGTGAATCACTGAAAGGATTTCTAGGAAAGCAACAGGACCTCCTGTCAACAGTGTCTTCTTTGTTTTCCTATTATTCTTCCAGTTCCAATATCTGTGTGCGCATGTGCACTAAATGTATTTTCAGGAACAAGATGGAACATTCTAGCATCTGCCTTTCTCCGTTTTAGAGACCCTGGGCAGAGATCTCAAGTATGGTTTTGTGGTCTTATTCTCTGCGAGAGGAGACTACCCCCTAAAATGTCACCATCCCAACCCCATCGTGGATGCGGATGATTGTGACCAGGTCCTTCTCCTGTCTTGGGAGAAAGGGCACCTAGTGTCTTTGCACCCTGACTGATAGGACATCCGTTCTCCTGCCTTAGAGCTAGCTAGACCTCCCGGCATGCCCACGTGCCCCCACCCCTGGTTCTCCCCGTGTGCTGGAGGGACAGGCGGTGTTTCCCCGGCTTCCCACGTGACTTTGGGAGGGAGCCAGGCTCCGAATGTGAGCGCACATCCAGGAGAGGCTCCCAGGCCAGGAGAGGCTCTCAGGCCCTGTGGTACAGCAGGCATGCTAGATCTGTGGTCACTGCCCCCTCCACGTTGTGCTCCTGGTAGCTTGATGACCACAAGCGCTTTCCAGGTGCTGTTCACTGCATTTACACTCTTCCTAATTCTTATCGCATTGTTATTATTGACACTTCATCAATAAACTTCCAGAGCCTCTGTTTGGCTAAATCATTGGTTCCAGGATAGTAACTAGTAAATCCGGAGGAAAAGCTGCGGGGCCTCCGGGGCTCCAGAGCCTTTGCGTCAGAAAATGACCAGGGCTGACTGGGACAGGGACCAGGCTTCCCATTCGCTCCCGGCTCGTGGTCTGCACGGGGCTCATTCTGAGGAGTGAGAGTTGTCAGTCTCTTCACCAGGTCAGGGAGGGACCCGGCAGGAACTAACAGAGCAAAGGCAAAACAGAGAAGCTCACAGAGGCATGCAGCCATGCAGAAACAGGCACAAACAGATGGAAAGAGTGCGTGCTTGTGATGTGCTCACAGGAGAAGTAACATGGAGACGGTCCCAGGCCAGGAGACAGTCCCGGGCCAGGAGAGGCTCCCAGGCCAGAAGAGGGTCCCAGGCCAGGAGAGGGTCCCAGGCCCGGAGATGGTCCCAGGCCAGGAGAGGCTCCCAGGCCAGGAGAGGCTCGCAGGCCAGGAGACGCTCCCAGGCCAGGAGAGGCTCCCAGGCCAGGAGAGGGTCCCAGGCCCGGAGACGGTCCCAGGCCAGGAGGGGCGAGCCCTCCAGAGATGGAGACGCTTTCATGGAGCGGGAATGCTACCTCTACGTCATTTAGGGTTTTTAGGTCAGAGACTTTGGAGTCCTTGAGGGCGTCACAGCTTGAGCACAGCGCTAAGACTGTGGATGGCCAGAAGGTTACTGACGGGACAGCCGTCCCGCTGACAGCACGAGACGTTTCACTTCCAGCTGTGATCCGTAAATGAACACGTGGTCACCCGATTGCCTTTCTTACTATTGAAAACCGAGCAGCCAGGGTTGCCGGTGAAGGGCTGTGAGCACTGCCACCTGAGACTGTTCTAGAAGTTTGGAGGTTTAGGCCTCCGGTTTTCCGGATTCTTGCTAATGTGCCTCCTGGAGCCCCAGAGTCCCCACCAGGACAGGAGGGAGGGTCCAGACAGGGACAGGAGGCGGCCACCTTCCCCTTTCCGCCGAGCGCCACGCACGTTCTAAAGGATGCCTCATGCTGGCCAAGGAGCGGCTGCCAGGAGGGGACGAGCGAGGCACCGGTGAGCTTTGTCGGGGTCGGGGGCTGGGCTGACTCGGGGGGAAGCTGCCAGATTCTCCCCCCAGGGGAATGGCCTGTCCCCGAAGCAGGGAGCAGTTCCCTTCCCCGCTGGCTGCTCCAGCGGCTGAGGTCCAGCCGGAGGCCAGGGTGCCCGGTGAGCGGCTCGGCCCCCTTCCCAGGTGGCGCGTTTCTTCCCGCCACTCTTAGGAGGACACAAAGCAGCAGCTTGCTGTATTAATTGCTCAGCAGTACCTTTGGTCTTAAATCACCTTCAAAGAAAAGGCACCTGATTGATCTCTTTTTAAAAATAATGCATGACGTTGAGATCCTTCTGGAGTCTGGGGAGCTTCCTTCTTAGAGGAGAAGGGCCAAGGAGAAGGTTCCTGACGGGGCAGTTTGTGCCCACACAGGTAACAGCCCGAGAGGAAGTGAGTTTAAATTGAAGCAAGTGAAATTTGCCGAAATTCTTGAGAATGGGCTAATTAAATGTGAAATTGGTTTTGGGGGGAAAGTGATGGGATTTTCTTAAAAAGGAGAAAAAGGTCTTTTAACCTTTTACAGACCTCCGAGGTCATTCCAGGGGCCCTGGTTCCCAGGGCGCCAAAGGCTCTGGTTATGACCTTCGAGGAACACACGGACTCTTTCCTCCCTGGGGAGGGGCATGGCCTGTGGACAGTTGACATGAGTGTCTCTAAAGTGCCCCACAGACTGTGGTGTGCAATGCAGAGGCTCAGGGCTTCCGAAGCTTCCGGTACCTCTTCACCTATCTTTCTGTCCCAGTAAAATACATACGCATCGCTCCACAGTGGCCCCGTCAGGTTACGGCGGGCTACCCACGATCACGTTTGTCGGGTCTTCCAGCAACACCAGGCCCCTGTTAAGCGCTCCGTATACGGTAGCCGAGAGGGTCAGTGTTTACCAGCTGGGTGGGTGCGGCCTGGAGGTTGACCTGGAGGCCAACTGGGATGTTTCTCTTCAGATCGGCTCTGTTCTGTGGCATGTCACACTGCCATAGATATAACATATCTGGCCTCTGGCCTCTGAAGGTTTTATCTATGGTAGTGTGACAAGCCACAGAACAGAGCCGCTTAAGACAACAACAGGTCTTACCTGGGTTTGTGTGGTCTGGGATCCAGGCACAGCTCAGCTGGGGGTCCCGCCAAGGGTCCTTCATGAGGTTGCCCTCAAGGTAAGAGAGCAAGGACATAGGGCTGACCGTGCTGCTCACTTGGGGCGACAGCCAACTTATTTAGCCATAGACCAGTCAGCCCTTCGGCACCATCCTGGGGGTGCCTGTCGTTCCCAGTGTCCCCCCTTTGTTAGCTGGGGAGGGCCTGGAGGGCTGGGGTCACTGTGGTAAAGGTGGAATATTGGTGTTTGAGGCAGCTCTGTTTACCAGATTGGGGGAGGAATTTCAATAGTTTCACAACTGGTGTAACATTTTGGTGCTTACAAGCACATGGACTGTTGGCCCCCGGGGTCACAGGAAACTTCTAGAAGGTGGTAACATTGGAACGAGGCCTCGAGGGCATGATTTTAGGAGCAGTGGGAGACTGGGGTGAAAGGATGATTATCAGGCACTGGACAGAGGTGGGGAGGTGCCTCAAGGGAGAGACCGTGGGTGACGTGCCCCTCCGTGAGCAAGCGGGTGGGTGCCATGCTCTTGGGCTGCGCTGACAGGCTCCTCCCCACTTGGGCCTGGCCAAGGTGCACACTCACTTCACCATCCCGCTCACTTCCCTGGCCCCCAGCCCAAGGTCACCGTGGGCTGATTTCAGACTTACCGCGGGGCGAGGGCTGCCGCTGTTTTGCCGAACTCTCCTGGGCTCTTAGTAAAACAAACCGCCAAGGCCATAAACCCCCCAGAAAAGCACCCAGGAGCTAAAACTAGAACAGAACCCCACCCGCTGGTGTTCTGATTTAATTTTGCCAAGACGCTTCTGGTCCTTAACATTAAATATGGCTCTTTCTGTGAAAGGTGACGCATG